TTGTCGCTGATGCATCTACGTGAAAAACGTCAAACAGTTTTTCTATGCATTCCGAATTTGATGCCGATCTCACTTCGCTCCGCACGACAGATGAACATGAGTATAGCGTGAAACATGGAAGCGAAAATTTTGATCCTGTCTTGTCTATCCTGCCACTGCAAATTTTTAAACTATTGTCCTGTTGTCCGTTATTCGAGCCCTCATTCCACAGTGAATTCGGCGCACTCTGCTCGTAAACTGCGGTAATGTTTGCGCTGACCGACTGGTATACAGCCTTGTTCATTTATTGCAGCAAGCGCGAGCGGTCGAATTTGGAGTTGTGCCCAGCTTGCGGAAGTCCGTTGGTCGAGTTATCGGTGACGGTGGACAATCTGCTGACGAGGTTTCTGAAGCTTTCAAGCCAGCACTTTAGACTTTGCAATTTCTCAACGGAGGGCGTTGTTCCTTGGAAGCTGCGCGACGCAGCGTTTTTTTGCAAGTATCCGGGACCGCCGTCATTGTAGCCAAGGATTTCCCCATATCGATGAGGCCTTCATGGCCCTGTATCCTTTCGACTTTGTCAATCATCTGAGTACTTTGCTCTTGCTGCGGTCGACGTTGCAGTAAGTTTTAACAGACGAATAAGCCTACCTTGTTTGCGCTGGTCTCACGTTTGGAACAGACTCTGTGCAGCCTGTTCGTCTCGGAGACCAGATTGCATATTTTTCATTGTCGTCGTCGTCGTCATCGTCAAACCAACCCTGACTTTGGCGGTGTGCACAACCAAGGACTTCCATGGCGTCGGAGTGAGTGACGCTTTGCAATGGGTACCATCGAGCCCTCATGGAAGTGTTGTCTTTCGGAGCCAGCAGTTCTTCCAGGTGCGGAACCACTTGATTGTTAAGATCGAGGAGGTCGTCAAACACATTCAACAGAACAATATCTGACTTATCTGATGGTCGCTTATCTTGTGGTTTCTTGTGAGGTTGGCGCCGAAGCCTCATCTTGAACATGACAAGGTAGTAATCCGTCCAGCCGCCGGCATCGCAGATCACGTGTGTCACCTGAATGTTGTTTCGGTCTCGCGTCTGGACGAGAACGCTGTCTAGCAGCGCCAGCGCCGAGAATGAGGAGGCATACAGGAAAGGGCCGTTGTTGTTTCAGGTACCGACCCCGTGGAAACCTAGCACTCACTCTCTCTCTTGGTCAACACGGTCCGTACCGACGCTAGTATTAAAGTCACCAAGTACAAACATTTTCTTCACCTTGGTCACAGTCGACATGACGGTGTACAGGTTGGTAGAGAAGATATGATTAACGTTATAAGGGCAGGTCATTTGGTGGGTGTAGACGCCGGGGAAGACTAAATTGTTTTCCCGAAGAGTCAGGTGCATAATCATGAGTTTTTTTTGTCATGCGGCAGACAAGGTGTTTGTCCCATGATGTCGTTGATGATCGTAAAGGTGACGTCAGAATCTCATCGCCTTTGGGCGTCCGCCTCAGAAAAATGTGTAGCCGGTACTTACCTCCTCAGACTGACCCTGTTCGGGGACCCAGATATCACTGAGAGATTCGATTTCGACCTTTTTGTGCGTTGTGCGCTGTCCTCATCTCACGTGGATTGTGCAGGGGATTATCTAGAAGAGAACGAACATTCCAGACTGCTATAGAGACCAGAGCCACTCTAGTAGCCTTTAGGGGGGGACAGGAGGATGGGGAGGAGCAGTTTGGTCTTGTTTTCTATGAAGCACGGCCAGCTTACAGGCGGCGTGTTTATCCATCGTTTGTTTCGGACACCTTTTGTAGGCCCTTCCCCCGATAGACAAGCATTGCTACCCCTAAATTGGGTAACTGAGTCATCTCAGGCCTTTGTCATGTTCCCCTATTGGTTACGCCTTTTCATTAGAGAAAGACAACTAAAACTTGCCCGGGCAGTCTGTGTGATAGCTGTCGCTTACTCCGTACATTTTTTCATTTTTTGGGGCAAACTGAAGAGGAAACAGAAACATCGGATTTAGGACATACACAAAACGGACACGCCCACGTGCCAGATAGTCTCACTTTGTCTAAACCGCTGGTTGATGTGGTTATCGGAGGGTGGCTCCTAGGCAGCCGTGAGCTTCAGGGTGAACGCCAGTTAAGAGCCGTGCGGAGCTACAACCACCTACTCGAGGCAAATGGAGCGGTATTTCACCCTACACGGCGTATCTCCTACCTAGGCATCCCCAAACCCTCGTATGGTTCAACCCTGTTAGCGCACGTCCTGGCCTCGACAGTGGTCACTGTAGTCTGAGAAAGTAATTTCTTTTTCCGTACATAGTAATCTTCTAATTATGACATTTCCTCTTATTCTGATAATGGAAACGCTACAAGTTGCTCACTTCCAGAGCATACTCAACCACCCGTCCTCAGTCTTCTAGGGAGCTATCAATAGACTTCCTCACGTGAACACCAATGTTGACCTCGGTCGTCAGCCCTCCTTCCAAGAGACAACCAGAACAGTACAAAAACTGTCCACCGGCAAAGCGTCAGTACTGTTGCAATCCCGGCCGCAATTTGTAATTATAACAGTCTACAACTCACGAAAAAGATAACTTCGCTGTTACAGACGATATGGATACCAAGACAAATTCCCCATGACTTGAATGATGTCACCATCGTCCGCATACATAAATGCAAGAGTAACCGGTAACTGCGTGGCGGAGGCTCATCCCTCCCCAAAATCGCAGGCAGAAGTTTTGCTTACGCCCTAATCAATTGTTCGTGCCTGAAATAACAACTTGCCTCCGAAGGTCAATGCAGATTTCAAAGGAAACGGAGAACCGTCTACAGGGTCTTTGCGATCGCGGTCGTTATCAACTACCAGTACGTCATAGGCCTTGTGAAATCAGGTATATAAACATATCAAGTAAGCGTGTAACTCTAACTGCTGTGGTTAGGATCTCACTCGAGCCCATTTGTCCGCCCGCCAGTTGGCTACTGACGACAACTAACAATGTGTCATAGGGCACGTAAGTACTTCACCTCCTTCCTGTCATCAACATCGCTACAGCGTGTTCGGGGACTTCGGAAAAGGGTCCTGACACAGATGTGTTTGTGACCGATGGGGTAGTTGCTTCTGAGGGGTGCGTGTGTCCAGTTGTGGGTCCACGTGAAGGTTGCAGTAGATCGCTCACTTGTTTGCAGGTGCTGACCACCCCTAGCGTCCATTGCTGGCGCCCATCTCTTACTGTGGCTCTTTGAAGCTAAGCTCTGTCTAGCGGCCACACCCCGGCAACCGCCTCGACCGGTGGGCTAAACCAGGTGAGGGTTTCCATGTTTGTATTCCCCATATGGTAATTCTGCTCCTCTCCCTCTTTCTCCTCCCACCTTTTCCACATCCCTTCATCCCTCCTTCCCCTTCTCCTCCTCTCCCCCCACGTCCCCCCTTCTCTTCCTCTTTTCTCATTCACAATTCTCCTTCCTCTTCTTTTTTGTTCTTTCCTCGTTTACCCTCCCTCTCCTCCATCTCTATTTACTACTCTCAACTTCACTCTTCTCACCCCACGGTCAACATGTCCTACGCCGAGGGCGACATGCAATCACGTAGGTGGCCCAGGACACTGGAACCGTATCAGAGGTATTCGCAGTGAGCAAAGGAGTGAGGCAGGGCTGCGTCTTCGCCCCTACTCTCTTTAGTCTCATGTTATCTGCCATGCGAATAAGCGTCTACCGTGACAAACGCCCTAATATCCGCGTCGTCTACAGGACAGACGGCCACCTCCTCAACCACAGGCGGATGCACTTCCAATTACGTGTATCCACAACTACCGTCCATGAACTTCTCTTTGCCGACGACTACGCCCTCAACACAGCCGCAGAAGGGGACGTGCAAAAGAGCATGGATCTCTTCGCTGCAGCCTGCGACAACTTTGGCCTGGTCATTAATACGGAGAAAACGGTGGTTATGCACCAGCCGCCCATCAACGCTGTCCACAATTCACATTCCATCAACGTGGACGGCTCCCAACTGCAAACTGTGGACGCTTTCACCTATCTGGTCAGCATCCTCTCTCGAAACACCATGATCGATGATGAAGTGGCCCGCAGCATTTTCAAAGCCAGCCAAAGAGCCGGTCGCCTGCAGAGCATCGTCTGGAATCGTTATGGTTTCCATCCCAGCAATAAACTCAAGATGCACAAAGCGGTTGTCCTGCCGACACTGCATTATGGAGGAGAGACCTGGACAGTGTACAAGAGGCAGGCGCAGGGACTCAATCACTTCCAAGTCAGCTGTCTTCGACAGATACTGAAGCTGAGGTGGCGGGACCGGATCCTGAACACGGACGCACTGGAAAGGACAGGAATCTT